TTTTTTCCAGAAAATCATCATACCAAACATTGGAATTACAATTTCTATGTCGTTCAGTTTCAATATAATTTTTGTGTTTCATTCTATTCGCTAAAGCATCTCTAGATTAGGTGGAGATTATCCAAGAGTGTTTGGACCTATTCTATACTAGCTCAGGTCAAAAGGTGAGACTAGAGAAAACAAGAATTTATTTCTCCAAGAATGTTTCTTAAAACGTCAAACAACAAACTAGTCAATAGTTTGGCTTTCAGCATATTAATGACTTGGGAAAGTATCTAAGGGTTCCCATCCAACATAAGCAAGTGAGCACGTTTATGTACCAAGGTATTATGGATAAAGTCAACCAATAACTTAGCTCTTGGAAAGCAAGTAATTTATCGTTTGTAGGATGTTTAACTTTGTCTCAATCAGTGATCTTAACAATGCTTGTCTACATATATAATGCAAACAATACTTTTGCCTACAAAATTGTGTGACAAATTGGATAAGAAATGAAAAAAAAACTTGTGGAGAGACACCAAAGTGCAAAGGGCAATACAAGGAGTAGCTTGGCATAACGTTTGCCAACTAAAGAGAGAGGGAGATTGGGACTTTGTAGTGCTCGCGTCATGAATTTCCTATTTATGATGAAAAACTACTAGAAAATATGTGCAAAACCTAAGAAGTTATGGGTTCAATTTGTTAAGGCCAAATATAAATTTGGAGATGAGTTAATGCGAGTGTCTACTAAACCCATTGCATCCAATTTCTAGCAAGGAGTTTGTAGTGTTTGGGAGTTGATGAAGAATCACTTACCATGGAGGATTGGATATGAATCACAGGTTTTCTTCTAGTTGGACCTGTCATTGCCACACTTTCCAACAACAAGTGATGTGGCTTAGCATGTGATTCCAAAGGAAGAGCAATGGAGTTAACTATGTGAATCATCATGATGATTGGGATTTGGATCAAATTAGATATCTAATACCAAGGAGGATATATTCGTTGATTATTGGGCATGTCCTGCCGATGTTTTATGTAGAGGAGGATATCTTGGTTTGGAGAGGTTTTTCTCAGGGTGTTTTCTCTACAAAGTCTGCTTATGAATATGTTAAGTCTACACATGATACTACCTCACATTAGGTTTTCAACCACATTTGGAAATGTTATGGACTAGAATGCATCAAGTCCCTTCTTTAGAGAGTCATTCATCAGTAAGGATGTGCAAAAAATTCAAACTAATCCGAACTGATCCGATCCTTATTAAAAAATTCAATTCATTTAAAGAAAAATACTAATCGATCAACTTTGCAAAGCCAATTTGATTATCCAATCTATTTTTACAAAATGGATTGGTTTAATTAGTTTTTTTAATTGATCCATGAGTAAAAAGTGAATAATTACACGAAATCGAACTAATCGACTTTTAAAAAATCAAATCGGTCTATTTTATAAAAAATAAATCGGTTAATTAACCCATTTTTGTAAAATGAATCAATTTAGTTTGGATTTTTCAAAAATCCAACCCATAACACCCCTACTCGTGAGAGTTTGCTAACCAATAGGTGTTGTGTGAAGTGAGGCCTGACAACAAATGTTGCTTTCCCTGTGTGTTTGCTCGAGGAAGAATTGTTGATGCATGTATTATGTGATTGTGGCCTAGTGAGACATATGTGCCTTATTCTACTACAAGAACGTTTCAATCATTTTTTCATTGTTTCAGATATACATGACTGGTTGCTTATTAACTTGGTGGAGGGGTTGTGTCATGTAGACGATTGGGGGTTACTTTTTGCTATTGGTATTGATACTATTTGACACGTGTAACAATGTAGTTTTTAGGGGTGCCATCAACTTATGTATAAAATTCGTAGATGTATACCGGAGATTAGGAGGAATAAGGTAGCTTTTTCGAATCTCCCCAATCTATGCAACCATAAGGTTATTTTTCATATAGTCGGTCATGTCCACCGATGGGAGTTTTGAAATTGAATTGTGATTGGGCACTTAGTGGTGGCATCTCTTCGTTTAGAGGAATTTTACGAGATAGTTCGGGAAATTTGCTTGTCGATTTACAAGCAACTTGAGGTTATGTTCAATGATCCAAGTTGAATTGTGGGTAATCTACCATGGTTTAAAGATCATGCGAGACTTATTTCCTAATGACAACATTCTAGTTGAAACAGATTGAGCAATGGCAATCAAGTTCCTAAATGATGGGTGTTATTGTTATCATCCATGTTATTCCTTGGTAAACAAGGTAGTGAATATGGTTGGAGAGGACCAAGATGTGTCTTGTAATAATGTTCCTAGAGAGACGAATCAGGTGATTGTTTGACTAATCATGACTGTCGCAACCGAGATCGCGAAATTGGGTTATTACAATGACCATTTCGTATAGGAAGGGGTGTATATCTTTCATAGACCTCCATCTTGGTTGCAGTTTCATTTGTTGGCCAGTACTTCAACTATTTTTTTTCTTTATAGACTTTTAGTTTGGATATTTAGTCCCTCAATATATATATATATATATATATATTAATACTTGAAAATTTTTGTTTTTGAATTTAGTTGGCAAAAAATATTATTTTATATATATATATAAAGTTAAATAAATAAATGGTTAAAAGTCTCTTTTAGTCCCTTATAATATTTTTTTATTTCAATTTAGTCTCACTTTAATTTTAGGTCTCAATTCAGTCTCCAATAATTTAAATCATTGCAATTTGGGACTTTCGTCTAAATGATTTAAACAGAGTTAACTCCTGCTGACATGGATGCCAGGTGGATGCCACGTAGATGCCATGTAGGTGGATCCCAAAATACTTGAATACACCTAGAACCAGAACGGTCCGTTCTGAAACCAAAATTAACACATAACATGTGCATGCAGAACGGGTCGTTCTGGTTCCAGGTGTATTCATGACACTTGGCATCCACCTATGCATCTACGTGGCATCCACGTCAGTAGGAGTTAACCCCGTTTAAATCATTTGGACGAAAGTCCCAAATTGTAATAATTTAAATTATTGATGACCAAATTAAGACCTAAAATTAAAGTGAAACTAAATTGAAAAAAAAAATATTATCAGGGACCAAAAGAGATTTTTAATCTAAATAAATAAAGTTGGACTCCACTTGCTTACATCTTAAACGCGATCGTGTATGAATTATCATGCATTATTTAGTTATTTGAATATTAGCTCACCGTGATTAGAAAGTTTTGCAAAAGATAAATCTAACACGTGTGAAATCAATATTTTATGGTCGATGTCAATGTGGAAATTATATTTTCCGTAGAAAATGGAATGGTTTCTAATAATATAATGTCTATCTATATATACCAGATTATGTACGATTTAACAATCATTTACGTCATTAATTTAATTCAGAATATCCAATACTCATATGAAAATGAACAAATGTATGTGTGAGAGAAAATAATTCAAATATGAGAATAGTTTAATTTTCCCCTTGTATAATAGCGATAACAAGGTTACTGTAACATTTAGTATCTTGTACATACAATTCTTAAACCCCAAGACTAGGCGGATTCTAATAGTTTCAGATAAGTAGGAAAATGAAATGAAAAAAATAAATAAATCAAATGGACGTAAAAACATGGGTTGGGAAAAATATCTTAGTGGATAAGAAAAATAGATAAAAATAAAAGTTATGTTGTGAAATGAACCCGTAATTTTATATAATATAATATAATGTCTTTATTCGCTCATCTTTTCCCTCAAAATTGCACTGTTTATAGTCTATGAAATAATATTTTCTTTAAAATTCTAACTTTTCTTCCTCAAAACTGTACTGTTTATAGTCAACGATATAACGTATTCTTTATAATGACGATATAAAATATCTTCTAATTTTATCAATTTAACTATTAAATCATATTATATTGATTCAATGTATACCAAAATTAAAATAATTAAAAAAATTTACAAATATGTAGTCAAGTAATAAAAATTTAAAAAGTTTAAATGTATATTATATGTTAAAATAAAGTAATTAAATAAAATACTAGTATTTTAACTTATGTAATACACTTAAATGTTTATTATATAATATTAAAATTTATAATAAATTATATCTAAAAATATATATTTTTCTTGAATATATAAATTATATTTAAAATTTGTATAAATAAATATTTTAAACATATAAATTATATTTTAAATTAATGGTAAATAATTTATATTATAGTATCAAATTATTTTTATTTATTGATAATTTATTTTAAAATATTAATATTTAATTTATAAATAATCATGATAAATAAAAATTAAATTAAATAAGAAGTTAAAATAATTTCTACAAACTCTCTTATCTTAGTTTTTAAGTAGGATAAGTTTAGCGAATTTAATCAATCTTATATAAACTTTCAACATGATTGTTAAAATTTAACTTTTTAATTTGATTGATAGCGGCATAGGTGCAAACCTAATTGAAATCTTTGTTGTTAGTGTAATGTTTTTGCATGTCATTTTTGTTTTAAAAAAGAAAATTTTAACTTTTATAATTACTCTTGAAAGATGTCATTCTTTTAACAAATTTGATATTTCATGTCCATGTGTAAAGGGAAAGAAATTAGAGAAGATAAAATAATAAATATTTTGAAATTATTTATTTTGTAAACTCTAAGTAGTATAATATTACTTATTATATTACGATATACTTTATTGACATAATAAAAGTATAAAGGAAAAATAACATATGATGTAATAATTTTTTAAGAATTAAAATAAGATAAAAAGTGATTTGAGAAAAAAAAAAAAAAAACTCATAAAAATATCTAGCAGCGACTTCTACTTCATTGCATGGGAACAAAATTAATTTCTATGCATGAAAGCAACATAATAAAATTCAAAGCGCGTGACCTGTTAACATACATACCTACCATAGGTTGACCTAAGTCCAGTTACGAATAAAAATGTACAATATGTCAATTGTTTGAACTTTGAACTTTGAATATTTTGGATGATTTAAGTGACATCGTAGGTAACAAAACAGCAATGGAATCAAGCAAGATGACTGTGTTTCTTTATCCTTCATTTGTACTACTCCTTCCCTTCCTAGTCCTAGCCATAGCCCTCATCCTACCAAACACTAATGCTGATAACATTGCCATTTATTGGGGTCAAAACAGTGGTGAGGGAAGCTTAAGAGAAACATGTGAAACTGGGCACTACTCCTTTGTAAACATAGCCTTTGTTAACAAATTTGGAAATGGTCAATCACCTACACTCTTCCTTGCCCATTGTGACCCTGTTATGGGCAATTGCTTTTCAATTGCCAGAGACATCAAAAGTTGCCAAAAACAAGGGATAAAGGTGATGCTATCAATAGGAGGTGCAAGTTTTAGTTACTCTCTTACTTCTAATGATGATGCTAAAAATGTTTCTTATTATTTATGGCACAATTTCTTGGGTGGAAACTCATCTTCACGCCCACTTGGAGATGCCATATTAGATGGCATAGATTTTGCAATAGGGGGGTCCCCTTCCACACAACATTGGGAAGACCTTGCACATCACCTTAAGTCACATAGCACAAGAAGAAAAAAAGTCTACTTAAGTGCAGCACCTCAATGCTTATTTCCTGATAGTACACTTGACATAGCCCTTCAAACAGGACTTTTTGATTATATTTGGGTACAATTCTACAATAATCCCATTTGCCAATATAGCAAAGGTAACATTGATAATCTTTTAAATGCATGGCACCAATGGACAACGTCATTAAAAGTAGGGAAAATATTTTTGGGTTTGCCTGCATCTCCGACAGCAACTGTAAGTGGCTATGTTCCAATTGATTTGTTGACCTCTGAAATCATTGATGTTATAAGAATGTCTTCCAATTATGGAGGGGTGATGCTTTGGTCAAGGTATGATGATAAAAAGTATGGATATAGTAAAATGATTTCAGAAAATCATATCTGCACACAACAAAGACAAATAAAATGCAAAAGGCACAATAATGGTTTTATTGAATCTCTAGGCTATATGGCCACAACTTGTTTCATAGTTTCTGAGAGTGAAAGCATTGGTAGGCTATGTTGTGAGGTTATATGTAGGAACAACTGTTCCTGTAATGCTTATGCTCCGTTAAACTTTGTTAATAATACTGGATGCCAATTATGGAGTAAAGGAGCAAGGTTTATTAAAGGTTCCACCACACATTTGCAGCGAGTTTACTTTGTCAAACAAAAAGGTATGCCTAACTAGCTAATTTGCATCATCACCATGTTGTTGTGCATGTTTTGTCAATTCGGTCAAACACTTTAGCCATTAACAATTGTAGTATATAAATTACAATAATGTATTAAAAGGAAGCTTTCATAATAAACAATACATACAATATGCTAATATTCTATAAGGATTTTTTTCTTACGAGAACTAAATATTATACCTTATAATATCCACTTTAAATTGTACAATCAGTTCCATAACTTTCAAATTGTCTGTTTATAAGTAACAGTAAATAATAAGTGGTGGACATGGCTTATCATTGGCATTGGAGTAGCTATTGCAATACCTTCATTCTGTTACTTATACTTTGTTTTAAGGAGACGATACAAAGCTGAAGGTAATTTCTTAAAGAAATTCTTGTATTCTTAAAATTTTTGTCATGATTTATAACTTAAATTGTATTTCCATATGATTTCATCAGTGGATAGAAAAATGAGGCAAATGAAATTGTTGACCGAGGTTGGAGGTAATGCATTGGGAAACTATGGCAAAGCCAAAAAGACTATGAAAGATGGAAAGACAGCTAATGAGATTGAGATATTCAATTTGGAATATATCATTGCTGCCACAAACAATTTCTCTCTTGATAATAAGCTAGGAGAGGGTGGTTTTGGTCCTGTCTATAAGGTAATGTAACTTACTAAAATTAAAGCTATATTGATATGCATCTGATATCATGATAATTTCAGGGAAACTTAATTGATGGACAAGAAATTGCAATAAAAAGACTTTCTAAAAGTTCAGGCCAAGGGCTAACAGAGTTCAAGAATGAAGCTAAGATTATGGCCAAGCTTCAACACACTAATCTTGTGAGGCTTTTGGGATTCTGCATCCAAAGAGATGAAAGAATTCTAGTTTATGAGTACATGTCCAACAAAAGCTTGGACTTTTATTTGTTTTGTAGGTCTCACTACCTTGATACACCATGGATTTGATATGTTCTTGATCTAGTGACTAATATCATTCTTACTTTGAAGCAGATGAAAGTAGAAAGAATGTGCTAGATTGGAAAAAACGTTTCAACATCATTGAAGGTATTGCTCAAGGACTTGTTTATTTACACAAATATTCAAGATTAAAGGTGATACATAGAGACTTGAAGGCAAGCAATGTATTACTTGATAAAGAAATGAATCCAAAAATAGCTGACTTTGGCATGGCTAGAATATTTGGATCGCAAGAATCTCAAGAAAATACAAATAGAATTGTTGGAACATAGTAAGTAAAATAATTAATCTACTTCAATATTATCTACAAGACTTTTAAATGATTTTAAATACTAAAAGTTAACTATTTTTTCTTTTTAAGTGGTTACATGTCTCCAGAATATGCCATCAATGGTGTTGTGTCAATAAAAACAGATGTATATAGTTTTGGTGTGTTGTTGCTTGAGATTCTTAGTGGGATGAAGAATAATAGTTGCATCCACTCAAATACCCCTTTCAATCTCATAGGACACGTAAGTTCCACAAATAACTATTTCATCATATTTAAATTTTAACTTAACTATCTTTTTGGATCTTGTCATTCTTTTAGGCTTGGCAACTATGAAATAGAGGTAGAGCTTTGGAATTGATAGATCCATCATTGATTGAATCATACGCTTCCGATGAAGTGCTGAGGTGTATTCATATTGGACTCATTTGCGTACAAGATCATGCAACAGACAGACCCAACATGCAAGATGTTGTTTCGTTTTTATCAAACAATACCATCCAACTCGATCAACCAAAGCAGCCAGCATTCTTCTTGCATGTGATTGTGGAAGAGTTAAGGTTGCCTAATAGCAAACAAGAAAGTTTTTCTCTGAATGATGCATCAATTTCTACTATTAATGGTAGATGAATTCCATCATGAATACAGTTTTGGCCGAGTAGACTTATACACATGTATGTAAATTAACTTCAATTTCTTTAAACTAATTCATGAGATTTTAACACCTATAAGTAAAAATTTATTGTTGGAATACAAATAAAGCTCCACATCATTCAAATTATTGTTCTTTTACGGGTGACTTGGAAAAATTTAAGTCAAGGTAAAAAATTGTTGAGATGTCTTTAATTCTGTTTATTATTATTTCATCTATTATTTGGGTTGTAATGGGGTATTTAGGGTTGTTAATTCATATTCTGTCTGTATTAGATATATTTATGCTCATTCAAAAGTTTTAGTATCATTATAGGTTTTCTATGTTTTATTATTTTTTTAATATACTTTATCTACTCTTTACTATTATCATTTTTATTCCCTTAATTTTTTTTTCTGTTTGCAAATTTGATACTCATTATTTTAATTATGTAACTTTAGTTTATCTATTAAATTCATATTTAATATTTAACAAAAATATTAATGCGACACCCTGCTGCCATGTCAACGATTTTATATATTAAGTATTAATATAAATTAATAAATTAATTAAAATTCTACAATTAAAATTATAAAAATCAAATTAGTGAAGAAAAACAGGAGAATCAAATTCATAATAAGGAGAACATTTTTTTAGAAATGATGATAGAAAAAAAATTAAGTCTTTTTTTTTAATCAATTTATTGTTACCGATTTTCTTTCAATTATCATCAAAGTATCCCGTACTTGAGTTTTACACAATTTTTATGCCAATGAAACGTTAGTTCGTGCTTAAAATTTTAAAATCGTAAAACATCATTCTTGATTTGTTTTTATTTTTAAAACTAGAATAGATTCACCGTAAATACACGGATAAAATACCAAATAAAATTATCTACTAAATTTAAAATTAATTAAACTGTAGTTAACATTTAAATTAGTTTAAATAATTCAATTACGTGTAAAAAAAACTAATTTAAGAAAAAATATAGTCATATCAAAATTATTAGAAATTTTTTACCAAAAATATAAAGATAATATTGTTTTAAGAATGATGATATATCATATATATATGATGAAAATAAAGAACAATGATATATACACATCTTTCTACATTTTATTTTTTCAGTAACACCTATTATTTATATTTATTTCTCTTATCACATTAATGTATGTATATTATTTTGGGTTTAATTTATTTTTTACCTAATGTTTGGTTATATATATATATATATTTTAGTTTAATAATTCAATTTTTTCATGCAAATCTAGTATTCATTCAATCGTAAATATAATTAAAATATATATTTTTTTATATTTTATTAATTAATATAATTATATGAATCAAAATTATTGTGTAAATCTAAAAATTTACACTAAATCTTATACCTTTAATAATTTTTTATATAATATAAATTTAATTATCTAACTATTGAATTATGTAATATAATACTTAAAATCATGTATATTAAATTTTAGATGATTTGAATTTTTCTAAATATATGAATTAGGGTCATTTATAAACCTAAAAACTTACACTAAATTTTATACTTTTAATAATTTTTTACATAATGTAAATTTAATAATCTAATTATTAAATTATGTGATATTATACTTAAAATTATGTATATCAAATATATTTGAACTTTTCTAAATATATTATTCAAAATGAATATTTATATATACTTTAAATATCATATTATATGTTAAAATAAAATAATATAATGAGTTACTAAATAATTTTAAAATTACAAACTTATTTGTGAATTATCAAATGTATTATTTAGTTTACCAAACATTAAAAAAATTGATCCTATAATATATCACTTTATTTTTTTAATTTTAATTCTTATAAAATTACTTTTTAAAATGGTTTTTGACAAAATTATTTTTTAAATTTAGTTTTAATTATTTTTTAAGTCTTTCTAAAATAGTATTTTTTTTGTCTAACAATTCGTGAATAATTTACCTTTAGTTTCTGCAATTCATTTTGTCATTAAAAAATTATATTATAAAATTAAATAATTATATATAAAAATTATTAATTCTTTTAATAGATCAAAATACTAAAATTAGAATATAAATTATGTGCCTATTATAAAAGTTATTAATTTTTTTATATCAAATAAAATATTAATTGAATGGGTGGAAGTATAATTGTTTTTTTTTTTTCTATAGCCCAAAAAAAGATACAATTAATTTTCCGAAATCCGAAAATTGAGTTACGCTTATCCAAATGAATGCGTACTATATATAGAATGGAACGGGAGGAAGAATAAATATGAGGCGAGGGTAAGGTCGCGTTTTGTTGTGTCGTGCGCTGTCTCCTTTGTCGTTTTTGTGTTCAGACCGAACCCTAGCTCCGCAGCGCAACCATGTCGACCAAGCAAGGTACCGCCTTTCTTCTTTCTCCGTCCTCTGAACCCCCGATTCCATTGATTTGCACCTTCAATTTCAGATCTGATCATAGGGTTAATGTTTTTTGGGTTTGCAATTTATCTGATCGATTTTTTTTTTCTTTCTCTTTTGTGCTTTTTAGGTGGAAAAGCTAAGCCTTTGAAGAAGCCCAAGTCTGATAAGAAGGATTACGACGAGGTATTTCCTTGAAATCCCCTTTGGTCGATTTTTGTTGTTTTTAATTTTTTTATATTATATTTAAATTGGTGTGATCAAAGATTAGAATGTTCAAGGTTGATTCACTTTGGTTTGAGGATTGGTAATAAGTTTAAGGAAGAGGGAACGCAGGATCGTTTAGCCTTTTTTGGACTATTGCTTGTTTTCATTATGAATCTTTGAATTCGTTTAATATAACTGCTCTTCTATTATCCCTTGTTTGCACTATAGGTTAGTTTTTCATCCGGGCTGTCATTTTCTTTCGTTATCCATTTGTTTTATTTTTTCCTTGTTGCATTCTACAGAAACAAAACTTGGTTAATCTTGGAAGTTCATCTTTTGTAAGATTAGCAAGAAAAGAATGTACTTAACTATAAATATACATGTGTTCGTGTAATTATTTTTCTTTCGTTTTCTTTCTGTTTGAAGCAACAGGATTAGATTGTTGTGCTTAATGAGCAGGTTGATGCTAGTAACGTGTGTGGTTTGTTTAACAAATCAGAACGAAGGGGTGGATGTGAATATAAGAGCAGTTTTGAATGGACAGTGAATATTGTTACGAACCTAACAATTATGGTTTAGACTCTAAAGAAAAACAGGACCTCGCAGTCCCAAGGGAGCATTTTGTAATATTTTTATTTTGTTCTGTAACCATTCTGCCACCTTGTGACTGAATTTAATGTGAATATCATTAAAGATTCATTCTTCATCATTTTCTTGAATCTGTTGGACTAACTATCCTACTCTATCATCCACCATAATTTGAATAGTAGAGGCAGCAGCTGAAGATATGGGAGGGACATGAGAAAAGTATGTGAGAAGCAGTGTGGTTTTGCAATGTAACCACCTCCTCACTATGAATGTGGGCCAAAGGGCAGGGGGGGAGCTAGGCAGTCATTTTGGTTAGGGAGGCTGCAAGAACCCTCCAATATCCTGTTTCATCTTATGTGTTTTATGCTATAGAGTAGTTTCTTGGGTATTATGTTGTTTGTTCACTTTGTTATGAAATTTTGGTTTTGAGCATGATTGACATGATTTTATTCTTATTGGTTTCACACAGACACAGCCCTGTGTCAACTTCTGAATCTGGTTATGACCTTGCAATTTATTGTTTGTATTTTGTAGATTGACATGGCTAACATTCAGAAGAAAAAGGAAGAGGAGAAGGTCAGATATTGTATTGTGATTTAGTACATGGTACATTTTGGTTATTTTTTGTAATAGTACTTAATCCTGTTGCTTTCACTGAACAGGCACTGAAGGAGTTGAAAGCCAAGGCACAACAGAAGGGGAGTTTTGGAGGTTCTGGGCTCAAGAAAAGTGGAAAGAAATAAGGGCTCTTTATCATGATAATTCAATACTGAGATCTATAATTACAGATGTGACCATAAGAACTTCTCTTATTGTGACCTACTTTCTTGCTAATATTAGTACGAGGTCTGTCCATATGTAAGCTGCAATAAGTTACTTATTTGTAGCTTTATTGTGTGTTTCTCATGGGGTTCTGATAACTAGTGTTGTGGATTTGATATAGACTTGTTCAAGTAATAATGGCTTGGCTTTCAACTGCTTAACATTTGTCATGATTCATATGAGATCCTTTAGTCAATATTCAATTGTTTGGCTTTTGTTCTTCAGTATTTTGTTGGATATGCGTCTCTAAAATCTTGTAAATTTTCTTAAGAAGAAAATTATAGAGGTGATGTAGCGAGTAAAATAGAATTAAAAAATTTGATGAGAGTTCAAATTTTATTACATTATATATAGATTCTTATATGACAATAAATTAGAAATTATTAAAAGATAAATTTATAATGAATTTATGTTAGATTGATATTTTTTATTTTATGATTTAATTTTTTTTGGTAATTATTTTTATTTTATATAAAATAGAAATATATTATTTTAATTATGTTTTTACTAGTATATTTTTATGTAATGTTATTTTTACATAAAAGTATATATTATGTTAGTCTTTTGAAAGAAAGAATATATCTCTTTTATTTAATTTACAAATAATAAAATTATAGATTTAATTACTAATGTATATGCAAATGTTTTAATTATTTTTTTTAAAAAAAAATTGGATAGGGTTAAAGTGGGTCAATTTCTCATCTTATTATTTTTAATTTATTAACTCACTAAAATTAATTAATTTATCGTTGAGGTGAGTTATAATTTTTAACATGTTTATTCTAGTAAGTGAATCTGTCCTATTCTGTTCTTTGATGGATCAAGATCCTGTTTTGCCTCAGGTGATCCATTTTGTTACCGTTACAAATCCATTTGTTTTTCCTTGGTTTTTATTTGCTTGGTTGTTTTCCAAAGAATATTATTATTTTCCTTTTGCTCTTGGGTTGGTGATAGAGACACCCCTCTTCCCCACCCAGAAAAAATAACTCTCGAGGAGACTCCGAAGTTTGTTTCATAATTGCTTTTATTTTTTTATTTGTGTAAAAGAAGGCATTTCGTTTCATGATAAATTCTTTTAAATATAAAAATAAAATTTTTTACAAAGACTTTTTTGTCTTTTATCGAACAGTTTATGTAATATTTATGAAGGGTTAAGCTTATAACAAATTATGTGTATATCAAAATAAGGAATCAATTTTATATTTATATATAGGTATAGATATCTTAAAGTTATTTTTATTGTTCTTAGGAGTTTCTCTAAATGAGTATTTATTTAATATATTTTAAATGAATTTCATTATTTAAAATAATTATTAAATAGTTAAAAGAATGATGGAGCATAATGAAGATGTAGTGACACTTGTAAGATAGGTTAAACTATATTTTTGGTCCCTTTATTTTTATCAATTCATTATTCTGGTCTCTTTATTTTAAAATAGAGATATTTAGTCTCTTATTTATAAAAATACAAAATTTTGATTTTGTCGTTAATTTGAAATTCGTTGATTATTAAATTTTGATTGTGATATTTAGTGATGTATATAAAAATAAAAAATTAAAAGATAACAATTCTTTAATATATTTTAGCGAGTCATTAGTATTTATTTTATTAATAAATTTTAGTTACATGTTTTGTTTTAGTTTTTTTATCTACAAATATTATATTATTAAAATGTCACATCATTTAAATATAAATAAGTGTTAAAATTTAATGATTAATAGTTAACAAATGAAATAATCAAAATTATGTATTTTTAAAATTAGATGAATTAAATCTTTTTTTTTTTTAAGTAGATGAATCAAAATTTCATATTGACAAAAATAGAGTCTCCAAAATTACAATTTAACCAATAGGATATAAAGGTTTCAAAAAATTAAGATAGAACAAATTTTGACAAAAATACAATATCTTAGAGGGGAAGATACCCGCATGAGAGTAGGGTCCTATGGTTTATAGGAGAAAGTTATTGATCATGACTCAAGGTATGTGATGATTACAAACTCTGTAGTATTGGTGGCAAACACTGATCGCATCTCGATGTGAAATGCAGTGGATTGGAAGGTGTTTGTTGCTACATCCGAGATTAACAGTTAAGGTTTATACTATATATATTTTTTTTTTTCATTCACAACTCAGCAACTCATTTGAGGTTCTGAAACGAATCTCACATTTATACATCACGTTGATATATCAAATAAATTGCAAATGCATGACTACTGTGATATTATATAGAGAGAAAAAAATCCAATGAACTGCAGAAAAAAGAAGAAGAACTAAGTGTAACAAAAAGAAAGATGGAATTAAATAGCCGAGCAGAAAGGTGATAACAGAAGAAAAAAGAGATGAAAGCCGAGCATAAGGATATAAACAAAATAAAAAAACATGAGAAAAGTATTAAACACAGAAGAAAAATATAAGGGGTGGGTTGCTGGAAATGGGAGAGCAGAAAGATTTAAATGAAAATGGGGGAGTGAGACAGCTGAAGAAATGAGTCTTGTATTCTTTATGACTTCAAAAAACTCATGATTTATATGTTATGTGATGAAAATTGGTCAGATCAACTGGACCTTTGGGGATTATTTTTGCCGTAACTCTTGCCATAAAGAACTTTTAAAGAAATTTCCAGCACACCATAGTCCATCATTTAGTAACACTGTCATGCTTAGAACTGAATACAGAGACATAAACTTGGCCCCGGTTGAAATCCAGTTAGCTTTTTACTTAATAAACAATGACTCTAACTCTCTAAAGTTATTGTCAAATCGATTTAACCACTCAAGCCCATGTATTAACCCTTTATTACTATTATTAATCATTTAACCATCTGATTACTGGAAATAATAATACACCATTATCCTCTCGATAGGTTAATACCTCCTTTTAAAGTACAATCTCCATCTTCCTAACAATTCACGATGAATAATCCAATCAAAATGGAAGTTGCATCTTAAACAATAAATCAAGGTCCATCAAAACGATGTGTAGGTGCAAAAAAATAGATTAAGTGAAGAAAAAAATTACTTCCTACAAATGTGTTCGTAGCACAAAATTGTTTATTTTTTGTTTTTTTGGGATGGATTGAAGCTATAACTCATAAGTGCAAGGGGCGGCTAGAAAAATTTGAAGAAAGCTAAAACTTCTGATGCTATAGGTATTCATATGATACCCTTACATAAACTCCAGCAAGCAACAGTATATGGCTTGACATAGCAAGATAACTGGAAAAATCAAGACTGACTACTTATTTACTACACTATTGCTTTTCGGGCTTATCAGGTTCTGGCTCCTCCTTTTCAGGTTCTTCCTCTTCCTCTTTCTTTTCTTCTTCCTCTTCATCCTCTTCTGGAGGATCTGCAGGCAACGGAGGCGGCAAAGGTGTCTTCATAGGACTAAATTGAGGGAATATATCTGGCCTTCGTCCAGGCTTAGGCCTTTCCCACTCCTGTCAGTATATGCATTCGACAATCTATAAGCTTGTGCATTAAATAACCACATATTGAAAAAAAGAGGGTTCAAAATCTAACAAAACCCAACATTACCGAAATCTGAACTTACGGTCAGAGCCACCAGATTATGGGCACAATGAAACTAAAATTCCAGAAAAATGAGTGTGGTGCTAACTGTTATTTCTACCTAGACAAATTCCCTTCTATACATTATCAAACTAGAATTATGCATCATTTACTTGATTTGCTTCAGTTATGCATTAGAAAACATCATTTTGGGTCAGTTTGAGTAAACTTCTCCAGACATACTCCTAGGAGAAAAAATAGTTAGAAATAAAATAAATTCTCTATAAGCTAAGCTTATGCATTAGCTAACTTCTAAAAATTCTCTCCTATTAGTTTCTCAAAAATCTCATTTTCAACTTATATATAAGCTAATTTTATGAAGAAAATTATTTTATTTTTCACTCCTAGAAATGTACACGGAGAAGCTAACCAAACATATCATTTATCAAATTTGCTAAAGGTATGCATGAGAAAATTGGTGGCACTTATCGAATTATCCTAAACTCACCGACACAGACTTATAAGTTGGCCATTTCTTGACTACTCAACATACAAACACTGTGATCATATTATTTCATAACAACTAATTGAATAATTTGGCGCTCTGAGAATATTCTAGAAACTAGCATAAGAACTAACGGGAGGCAAGATTGATTGCATGCCCTGAACCAAGAATCAACATAGCAGGGTGCATGAATTGGTGCGCAACGACAGAGGTTGAAAGAGTAATTAAGAATTAAAGCATGTGCGATTAAAACCTTCCCCAATCTAAATCCACATACTGAAAGTAAACTAAGGAAAGAGGCAGCAAAATGAAAAAAATAGGGAAAAACGTACGATTGGGAAATCGAGAGGGGAACGGCGAGTCATCTTCTCCTCGTCGGGAGCCATACGAACGATGTGTCTCCGGAAGCGCGGAAGAGGAGAGGGAGAGCGAAAGGCAACGATGGAAGGTGGTGCAATTAATTTGGAAGAAGAATAGGGTTTGGGAGAAGAAGAAGAAGAAGAAGGCGGTGGTGTGTGAGTGGTGTTGAGACTCACCAAACCCATAGCCATGCCTTGCCTGCGGCTGAGCAACACCTAATCCTAATCCCTTCTCTTCTCTCTTTATTCTTTACAATAACATCAAATAAGTCGGTTTATTTTTTTTTTTTTCTTTTCTTTTTCTCTTTCTACCTGTCCAATATATAAATCTTTTCTTATAGCCACTAATAATATTTTTTTTTATTAATTTTGTTATTTCGACTTTTGTCGATAGTGAAATTAGAAAATTAAGTGATAAAAATGTAAATAAAAATTACTATTTTAAAGTGTTAACGAGTTGGACTAGTTTAGATTAAAAATAAAAATTTAATTAAAATTAATTAATTTAAATTTTATAATTTATAATTTAATTTAAAATAAACTAATTCGACATTGATTAGATTAATTTCATTTAGGTTGTTGAATATTCAATGTTTTTCTTTAAAAGAATAAATTAAAAAATAATTTCTTTTAAAATAAATAGATTTTTTAATATTAATTAAATTAGTATATTGTAAAAGAAATTAATTAAATTAATATTTACAATAGTTTTTCTTAATTTTTTATTTGAAGATTCTAAATATATTAGAGTGTGCAAAAAGATCACATTTAATATATTTTGATATTATGTTTTCATTTCTTTAAGTATTTTGAAAAATAAAAGAAAGAGAATCTTTTAAATATAATCACCTCGTGAACTGAAGTACAATAATACCGAGAAAGTTTTTGTGAAATTATAAAAGCTTCTCATGCAATGCATCTCCTCCTGGACTGAATTATAATAGTATTGTCTTTTTTCTTATAAAAAAAAATAATAAAATTTGCCCCTTTCCTATTACTTCGGACAACACAATTTATAAAATGAAAGCAATTTAAATTGGAAAATAAAACAGGTAAAGTTTTTCATAGTTTATCCATTTATCACTACTTTATTAAACTAATTTACATGAAATGGTAGAAGATATAAAAATGAAATAAATGCATTTTAAGTTAAAATCAAATTTTGTATTCGATGTGGAGTTCATTATTTGTCTTCTATATCTTTCATAAATATTTAAAGTCAAATTATTCTTTTATTTATTTTTTATTTAATTGGTTTAATTTAATATTCTTTTTAAAAAAATTATAATGATCTTAATTTTTAAAAATTGACGTAACATTTTTGTTTAATTAAAAGAGATAATATTATATTATTTTTAAAAACTGAGGAAACTAACACGAATCTTTTAATAATAAAGGAATAAAATTAAATCAATTAAGTAAAATAAATTAAAAGTAATTTAATCAATATTTAATTATTCTTCCTTTGATCAAAATGACATTGGTAAATTTTAATTAATCCTTAAGTATATAGTGATATTTGGTTTGATGATTTCGTTGATCAATTGTGAGAGTGTTATGTTTTATTTGTTATTTTATTTATAAAAAATATTCTTTCATTTCGAATTTCATAAGTGAGATCTCATCTTTACTATTATTGACCAATATTTATAAGTCAAATAAGTGATTAAAAAAAATATAGATCAATTATTGAAAAAAAATGCTTTATTATTTTGTATGTGATATTTTTCATAAAAAAATATCTATGAAATATATAATGTTTTATATATTTAAATTATATTTTAAATAATTATTAACTATAGAAACTAGTCTTTATGTGTGAAATTATTTTTTTTTCACTTAATGAACTTTTCTGGTTTCGTCCCGGATATATTATTAAAATCGCTAAATTTTATGAGATTGATTTTATCAATGTTTATTAAAATCGCTAAATTTTATGAGATTGATTTTCTCAATGTTTATGAATATGGTAATGTTATTAGTTAAAATACTTTATATTTTCGTTTCATTTATTTTATTTTTAGTTTTTATAATTTTATATAGATTTGTAAAATTTTTATATTTCTTTTATTAAAAATTTTTAGTTTTTATAATTTAATATATATCTTTTTAGTTAATTTCTATATTTTAAATTTTTTTTTGATTCTTTTAGTTTTTATTAATTCTTTTTTATAATATTTTCTCTTTCATTTAACATAATAGAGATATCAATTCAATTTTGTATGTTTAATATCAAATTTATTTTATTAAAATTACTGTAAATAAAATTTCTCAATATTTCATATATATTTTTTGTATTCTCATGTGCGAAATTCATTGTTGAAACATTATTTTTATTTAAGAAATTAAAAATTTCTATCAAGTTAAATATAAAACAAACACCATTACAAGAAAAATTAAATGATGAAGAATAAAAGATTAAAATATTATAAGTATAGGAAAAAAAATTATTTTAAATTATACAAAATAAAAATAATTAAAAAAATAAATATAAAAATTAAAAATATCTATTTTAAATTATAAAAACTAAAAGGTAAAATTAAAAAATTATAAAAACTACAAAAAATATTTCAGCCATAATTATACCAATCATCACTTATATTTTATGTTATATTATCTTACTTATATATATAATAAAGTAGACAATTTTGTCATAAATTTCCAATACAATAATTCCTTTTTTTATATATATATTTTACATGCAATAATTCCTGTTTATAAAAATAATGTCATGTAATAATTGTTTATGAATTTTGATAACGTCACTTTCTAACGAATATAATGTTACTTTAATTATTTTTACATTATTTACATATTTGATTTGAATTTATTGATATAAATAAATTATGTGAATATTATAAAATATTTAAATATAATTTAATAAAGAAATTATATGCGACAAATTTTTTATTGATATTAGTGTCTAAAAACTTTTTAAAAAACTAACATTAACATTAAAGTTAATTTTTTTTCTTATATTTTATATATATATTTTTATTAATTTTTGTTTATAAAACAGTGAAATGAATGGAGAAACATTAATAAATAACATAAAATTGGAATGCGTAAAAATTAATAATAAAATAATAAATAAAACCATTTCAATAAAATAAAATCATAAATTTTTTCATTCAAATGCTTTATATGAGATCCGAAACCCTTTTACTATTTTTTTTCCTCTTCACTCTCATTTTTCTAAAGATTTTTCACTGTTGATTTCTTTCTCTAGGTTGAAGTGGTGTTGAGCTTAGGTTGTGAAGAAAGATTTTTTCATCCATTTCTCTTCTTCTTCCTCGAATAACACAGAGTTAGATTTTCTTTCTTTTCGAGGTAAAGGAAGCTAGAATCTTGGGTTGTTGATTGAATTGAAACTTATAATTTGTTGGATTTTTAAAAATTTGAGCTTTGGAGTAGATATGTAGTTGGTTGCATGTTGAAAGCTGAGGCTTTGGCTGTCGTGACGAAAGGTTTAATGTTGATGATTTCCTTTGAATTTTGCTACATGCATGTTGAATTTCTTGTGGTTTATGGGTTGCATGAACAAAATGAGTAGAGATTATGAAGGTAGATCATGTTTAGGAATAAAATTGATGGATTATAGGTGAAAAAAAAAGGTGGAAAGCTATGAAAATGCATAAAGTTTTGCACTCAGCGTTGGAGTGCTGAACCAGCGCTGTAACTGTGAGAGAAAATAGGGAGGTCTAGATTCAGCACTACAACTCCAGGTTGAGCGTTGCAGCCCTGGGAGGAATTGATCTGGCAGAGACCTGGAGCTGCAGCTCCAAGTTGGGCGCTGTAGTCCCAAGAGAAAATGAAGCTAGCAAAAAGTTAGAGCTGGAGCGTTGAATTAAGCATTGCAGAACCGAGGGTAAATGACCGAATTTGATAATGTGGTCTTCATATGAAAGTTGTAGCCTTGGATGTTAGCTTTCCAATGGAACTAATAAAGGATGTCTAGAACTCCAGTTATGACCTTTTTAGTGAACAAAAGTCAAGCTGTCAGGATTTAGTCTAGTTGTTGCGGTTTTTACATTTTTTAACAAGGTAGATGATAGAATTAGGATTTGATGTCTTCATGAGAGTTGTAAGAAATCTTCTTTTCTTTCATATGAGATAAGGATGAGAATGATTGGAGTAGTATAACTTCATATATGCTATTTTATGTGAAGGTTGTCATTTCACAATAAGTGATTTGTTAAGTTGAAAGTTGTTTTGGGTGCTTAAGTTGATTTATGTTGTTTATGTGTGTAAGTTGGCATGATAGATGACTTGTAAATATGTGGTATGAGTTCTATTATGTGATGAAAATGTTGTGTGCTAATATAAATGATAAAATGTTGAATAATGATGATTGTTGTTGTATAATGAGAAAACATAGTTATGAGTTGAGAGTTGCATGCTGAACCCTAGTTGTGTAAATGTTTAGAGATGGTATCTAAGTTGTTGAGATGACTATGATGTTTGAGTTGTGAGTTGATTGAGATGATGAGATGATAACTGTGTTGTTGTTCTATGATGATGAGTTGTTGATTACTAGGACTAGTGGAGATGTTTTCAAAGTTGTTCATCCCATTGTGCGAATTGAGATAATTGTGGTGCTTTAAGAGCCTAATTTGTTGAAAAACCCTCCTTGGGAAGTTGTCCCTTGGGGTGGAGGAGTTCTGTTCTCCTTCAGGACTTAATTGATCCTGTGTGTGGACAAGGTTGAGGCACACATGTATAAAGCGATCACGGTATAGGGGACAGATTGAGCTATACCGATTACAAGTGACTAATTTGATAAAGTATGAAGTTAGGAACTTAGTTCCTATTGTAGTATTTGGAGGATAGTCAATAGGCTAATCTCATAGGTGGCTTAATTGAGTTAGCTAATGTCGTGGTAGGCCTAAGCCCAATTGTCCTATCCTGACATAGTACTATACTTCATTGTTTAAGTGGCAAAGTCTGAGGAATCCTTATCGTGTTGTAGATTTTTGTCCAAATTTGTTGTTTACCTAGCAAATCCAAAAAAAAATTGTGTTGTTGGTTCGATAGGACCTAGCCACTTAAGTTGCTCACCCTATGTTGTAGGAGATCTCTGAGTTGAAATGTGTGACGACACATATGTGTTAATGAGTTGATATTGTGATGATATGAGTTGTATGTGTTGATGTGTTGTGAAGGTGTTGTTGAGATATGTGTTATTTATGTGTTGTGTATTGTATGTTGAACTAGTTGATGATGATATGATAGTGATGTTAAGTTGTTTTTCTATATATGTGTTGCTTATTTTCACTAGCTTACCCTTGTATGTTTCTATGTAGTTTGGACTGGGATGATCATACGATGTATGAGAGTAGGACAGGGATAGACTGGTGTTAGTTGATGTAAGCCACTTGGTGGCAGGAGTTGGAGAGTTATATTTTGTTGACTATAGCTAATGGTATAGTTTATCTTGTAGACCGTTGTATACATTGTGGCACGTTAGACTGCCTTTGGTGCACAGTGGTGTATATATATTATATATTCATGTTATACTATTTTAGTATACATTTCTAGTTGTGTTATTCCACAGTGTGACAGTCATGATGGGTCGTTACATATTATATATAAATAGTTAAGTTTCAATGCCAAAATTAACAAAATCATTTATCAGTTCATATAGTAGTATGTAGTATGAGGTTTATTGTTGTTGTAGTAGTAGGTAATTCTACATTTAAATAAATATTTTTTTTATCTTATATATTCAAATGAATTATAACTTACTCATAAAAGAAAATGAATTATAATTTTTACATTTAGTTTATAATCAATCTTTTTTATAATAAAACATGTACTTACAATAATATTAATTATTAATTATATATAAAAATGATATAATTTTCTTATTTAATGCTTCAAAATATTTAATTCACCAATTTCATCAAAAAAGATATTTTCATTATTATATTATGGGTTCAAAGAATGTATAAATATTATATTACATATTGTAGTGTAAAAACTAGCACATATTCATAAAAGGTGTATGTGAATTAATCAATTTTATGTGATCTCATAATAAAACCTTTATTATCAAAGTTTCATGTAAAGGACAATATTATTTAGTAATTCTCTCAAATACCATATATTAAATATATGCATTTATTATTGTATATATTAATTTATAAATGTTATATAGTCAACTTTTTCTATTATTATAAAAGAAACTTAAATTTTTTTAAAATAAATAAAATATACTTTAAGCATAAAACTAATAAAAAATAGTTTATTTTTATTATATTTATTATAATATAAAATGTTAGAGGTGGCAAAATAGGTTGACTCAGTCCATTTTAGCTTGTTTCAAAGTGGATCACTAATCATGACATAAATATGTCCTTCAATTTCAAGACTATAACATAAAGATAATAAATTACAAATTATTAAAAGTCTTTTTCTTTTTTCAATCAACATTACTAATTACTTTTTTCAATCAACATTACTAATTATAATCTTTCAAAAACTCAAAATCATAATTTTTAAGAACTACAACACAAATATTAATACACAAAGTGATATACCACGAGTTACAAAATAAATAAAATAAAATATTTAATTAAACTAGTTGACAAGTCAATCCACCTGACACATCATTTGACTGCACAAGTTAGTGAGTTAGGTTGGACAGAGTTAGGGATGACAAAAATATCTGCAACCGCGTGTATCTGCAGGTAAAATCCGCTACGGATAATAAATAGATAGGCTAATTGGGTACCCGCAGATAATAGGGACGAATAATTTTTTACCTGTTTATAAATGGGGCGGGGACGGGTATGATGATATCCATACCCGCGGGTACGCGTTTAATAATATTTCTTAAATATCCTAATTATTCTTGTACCACATAACCCTAAAAGTACACTCTCTCGTCTTATTTTCTTACAAAAGTGAGGTTGATGAAGTTATTAACATATGTTAAGCATGTTATAGAATTATGTTGGATATAATTTGATTAATTTTCTAACTTTGATTGGACCAATAAAATTTATGTATTTTAAGTTGTTTACTTTCGTTTGGAATTATGAGATTGAATTATTGTAACTTTGTGATGAGACTTTAACTTGTGAGATTAATGTATTTTAAGTCATTAATTATCTTACATTTTTATTATTATTTCAACAAAATTAACGTTAAATACAAGTTCAAAATTAACATTAAATTTTTATTTTTAATATTTCAATGACATTAAATATAGACTTAAAATTATTTGTAATATAATTTTTTTAATTTCTTAAAAAAATTATAAATATTCATGGATATCCGTAGGTATTCAAGAAATTCATGGATACTCGCGTGGATATGAAGTGGATATGGGGACAATTTTCATCTAGCGAGGCGGGGACGAATTTACTATTACCCACCCCCATGGGACCCATTGTCATCCTTAGACAGAGTACACAGTCTAGGAGACTAAAATACCTGTGAGTCATAACCCACTTTATCCTCCTATATTGTAAATCAATAACCTATGCAACATATGATCATACTAGAAAACATATAACAAATATACATAATGTCATATTCATTTTTTTTCTATAAAACTAATATACATAATTATCTATAATTATTATAAAGTGGGTACTAACTTTTCGTGTACATGTTATTTTTAAATTATGTAATTACTTTTTAAATTATTCTATAAATTAGTCATACTAGTCAATTAACCACCTATTTCTCGGACTCCCTCTTATTTGTAGTTGTTTACCTTTTATTTTATTTTATTTTATTTTTAATATATAGAGACATGATGTCTCTTTGACACTAAATAATAATTAAGATAATTATAATTAGTATACATCTTGTTTTGAAATAATTAATATAAAAAGTTGTTGTATAAAAATTAATTAGTCAAACAAACAATTAACTCAAATAATTTAATTATTTAATTTTGAAAATTCATTCATTTATTACAATAAAAACATGTCAAATATAATATAATCATATCTATTTTGCAATTTATTATGATTTTTTTAAATTAGTCTTTTAATAATTTTTGTAATTAGTTAAAATAAAAATACACTATAATATCTCTCTCTATAGATAGATAGATGGTTCAATTAAAATACTGATTAATCTAAGTAAAATTAGATTTTATTTCTTTAATCAAGGTCCCGTTTCCGAGTCATATGAATAAAATAAATTTAATTGGGACAATTTTCTTGCTATCGTGCCCATCTTTCAGTAGTATTTGCCTATTTGTTTTTTTTTTTTTCAAAAAAATCTTTTAATTTCAATTATTTAGTTTTCAATCGTGATATCTTACTTTGGCATCTGTAATTAACGGTCGTGTTTATCTTCTGCTTCCTATCTATTTGCTATACAATTTTGAGTTTGGTCATTAAACTTCCATCAAATATGAGTGTTGTTCCATATATACAGTGTGGCTTAAAATTTCTAGGTTCTTCACTAGCTACGTGGGTTAAGGAAATTGCAGGCAAAAGAGTGATGTGTAATTCTAGGTTGTGAATTCAATGTAGATTGATGAGTTGTAGTGTCTGAGGGAGTTCGGGTAATGCAGGTGGTTCATAAAGTGTGGATTTTGACATTAGTCCGTAGTGGTGGATTGATTTGGCAGTTTTAGTTGGTTATTGTGGAATTTTCAGTCCAGGTATCTAAAAACAAAAAAAAAGAGTATAATTTAGGGTTGGAAATTTTGGTTCCACATCACTAATTTAATGTGCTGCTTGTCATTCCATTAAGTTTAATAAAAGGAACTGAAGGATTAATACGACTCACCTCACCCTAGTAGATATGGAAATCAAAATCCATATATTTGCACACCCTTCCCCTTTGCTTTAGTTTTGTGTTTTCTTTTCGTAGAAAGTGAATTCAACAGGTCCGTCCACATGTCCAATGGAGGCTCCGTTTACGGAACATCCTTTAAATTGGATAAGATGCATGTAAGAGATTAATGGATGATATTATGACTTCTTTTTTTATTTTTTGAAAGGGATGATATTATGACTTGGTATCAACTTAACATGCAATTTTATAAAGTTGAATTATCCCAAAAGAAGAGGTTATTACAAAGTTGTCTACGTAACGTAAGAAAATCATACTTTTTTTTTCTTCAAAATGACACCAAGAAAAGCATTATTATGTTATGGCCGATTTTGTTTCCAAATGACCTTTCCTACTTGGTAGGAACGAGAATGAGTAATAGCACCAAGAAACGAAGGAAATGGATGGATCTAGACTGAACCATGAAACTCAATGATTATAGGACTCCACCACGATAAAATAAGGTAAACTGGTCACTTATAATGAATTCTGTAACATAGGAGTATAATAATTGGAGTCCATTAATGCACATTTCTTTTGTGGCTACATCTTGCAAGTCACCATCCAATGTATACAGACTTCTAGAATCATGATCCACACCCTTCACTTTTTTTTTTGGATTGACAAAAATATTAAAATAAATAACTAACCCTTGGATTGTTATTGCAATTGCATGATGAGGTCCCTTGCACCTGCTCCAATTACCCAAATCTTCTGGCCGTGTAGATGATGTCATATTGAGCTTAAACAAAGAAACAAACCTATACTACTCTATCTTGCAGCCTTTCCAATAAATCTAGCCCAACATGACACATAAAGACAAAGATTTCTGCAACCACTTGTGATGTTCCAACTTCCAAGGCTCAAAGTTTTATGTCGCGAGATTTTCTAGTAGTGGTATATTAGTGTACTGTAGTTAAAATTATCTGAGTCATTGTTATTCTACTATTTTATTTTTGTGCTGGGGCACCGAAACTAATTTCAATTGGGGCAGTACATAATTTCAAAAAGTTGGTGAACAATAGGCTGGAAGCAACAACATGGGGCATGATTAAGATATGCCACGTGTAAAACATGTATTGGTAACGTGCGTGAGATTGATTAATTGTTGGCCTTTACTTTGCACTGCAAAATAGCAAAGCAAAATTGGCCTTTACTTTGGCCTATTATACTCGAAAGGTGAGGTGGGAGTTGCCTCATTTTTTTCCATCTCACATGAATGGGAAGGTGAAAAAAGTTCCATTTATTTTGGCCTATGCCCTTCGGGTTTACCAAACTAAACAAAAAGTTGAGTTTTAGATAAATAAATGCCATAGCAAGGCGTTTTCGCTCAATAGCTGATTCCAATATTTTCAAGATTATTTGTAGAGCAAAGCAGAAAGCGGAATAGCTTGTTCTTATTATTCCATTTGAAAGTGATAGCAGTGGTGTTTGATTCGTCATGTAAGCAACAGTGACTAAGTTTTGGGAGGTTATCAAGTATCTATCATCAAGAGGGTGGTTTGAGGAATGAGAGTAGGAGAAGGAGATAATGGATTTCTGGCCAGAGTTTCTCGCAAGCAGTTCGGGAAGAGAGTTTGTAGCAGGTGGCCTTGGAGGCACTGCTGGTATAATTTCTGGTTATCCACTAGACACTCTCCGCATCAGATTACAGAACACAAAAAATGGCTCTGCTTTCACCATCCTCAGACACATGGTGGCTAGGGAAGGACCAACTTCTTTGTACCGCGGCATGGGCGCACCATTAGCTTCCGTTACTTTTCAGGTCATTTTCCTCTCATTCATCAACTTTCTTTTCCTTATTTCTCTCTCTCTAATTTGTTTTTATATCCAAATTTAGATGCAGATACACCCTTAAAAACTAGCTAGACATTAACTAACATATTATCAATAGTTTATAGACAATTGTGTTAAATATCAAGATTTCAAGTTTTTCTGAGTTAGAGTTTAGATATTGCGTTAAATATCAAGAGATCAAAATTTTCTGAATTAGAATTTAGATATGCAGTTATGATATATATGAAAATATAAAACTTAAATATTTATAATAATTTTATCCAACTCGATCAAGATTATTCATGTCCTCCTCCCTCATAAATTTCAGTGTGATTCAAGGGAATCGGATTATATGGGAGTTTATCGTAAATCCTAATTTTGAATAGTATCTTATCAACTGATGTTGCATCTGGATTATTTCTTTAAACATCCTCAACCTGCCTAGCTTTTTACGATTTTGGTATGCTGTAGGATTCCAACTTTTGTTCTGATAAAAGCAATTGGATAAAAACTTATGGCCGACAAGTCTGGGTCACGAGGATTATAGTATAGTCTCACTCCATAACTTTTTATTTGGAATATACTGATTGATGAGAGTGCTTAATTTCCTTTTGGAAGTTACTTTCCCACGGCTTTTTAATTTTATAATCTTGCTTTAGGATAGAGATGGAATCATATGAATCCTTATTGACTTTTGCTTTTGAATTGTTGAAGAATCATAATTAGGATAAGGGCTCTGACTCTTAACGTTTTTCCAATTCAAGCAATGTTGAACTAAATTTTCTAATGAGCCAATAGCGGGGTGAGGTCTATCAAAGTTGGAATGAAGATCGCCTATACTCCAATGCTTTGCAAGATACACAAAATTATAATTGCGTTCTGTTCAGATCACTGATTTACAAGACAGTTAATCATTCGATGAATTCCAAAAGTTTTATTTTTCCTGACACCAAAATTGTAACACTAAATCCTGAGAAAAATTCAAATCTGTAACACTACCAGCAATGAATTTTAATGATGTCAAATCTTGAGATGTTTATAGAGAAAAAATCAAGTCTCACCACGTGACTACCAATAATAAGATCAAAGTATAAGTAATATTTAAGTGATCACAACTCTCACCAAGCAAACTAGAATCATAATTTACGTTCTAAAATGGCATCTGAACCTATTTTATTAATAGTTTATCTATCATATTATCCATGCGCACCAAGCCGATTAGCCGAATAATGTGCCGTAAATAACACTAATAGTTTGTGGTTGCCATGGGGCCAAAGCCATTCAAGGCTATTGAAACTTGAAATGAATGACATTTGAATTGTTTTATGTGAATGGTGTGTTAGAATGTAACCCTGTAGATTGGCCTAGTATATCTCATTGTTTGCTTTATTTGTCTTCACTATACAATATCAAAAACATAAAGGGCATCTAAGTTTCATAGTCTCACATTGGCTCTTCACTTTATGGTGGCAGAATGCAATGGTTTTCCAAACTTACGCACTTCTGTCAAGGGCATTTGACTCATCCGTTTCTCTTAAAGACCCTCCTTCCTACAAGGGTGTTGCTCTAGGAGGAGTTGGAACCGGAGCTCTCCAAAGCCTATTACTGTCACCAGTAGAGTTAATCAAAGTTAGACTTCAGCTTCAGAACAGAGGCCACATGACAGAATCAGAAAAAGGCCCCATAAGACTCGCTAAAAACATATGGAGAAAAGAAGGCCTCAGAGGCATATATCGAGGATTTGGCGTCACTGTGATGAGGGACGCACCTTCTCATGGCTTATACTTCTGGTCATATGAATACATGAGGGAACAGCTCCACCCTGGTTGCAGAAAAAGTGGTGAAGAAAGTTTGAATACCATGTTAATAGCGGGAGGATTAGCAGGGGTGGCGAGTTGGATTAGTTGCTACCCTTTTGATGTTGTGAAGACAAGACTTCAGGCTCAAACACCCTCTTCTATCAAATACAATGGCATTTTAGATTGCTTCAAAAAGAGCGTTAACAAAGAAGGATACGGTGTTCTATGGCGAGGTTTAGGAACTACAGTTGCCAGAGCTTTCTTAGTTAATGGCGCCATATTCTCTGCTTATGAGATTTCACTGAGATTACTGTTTAACAATGCAAGCATTCAAATGAAAGAAACAATTTAGGATAATCACCATGAGAAAAGCAGTAGGTGTAAGTGCCGAAAACAATCAAATTTCAGCATTGATATTCAATAACCATTCCAAGATGTAATCGTCAGATATTATTCTATACGAAATATTCCATGCATGATGTAAATATCAATATTTATACGATAAAAATTAGTTATAGTTCCTAACTCTAACTTCAAGGACATAATATCAAGATAAAATTATAATTTTAATCGATCAACAATAGCAACCGTACCTAATAAAATTATAACTAAATTTTGTCCTATTTACTTTCGCTGTGAATCCCATGTTTGGAAACGTACGTGGCAGATAGAAGTACAATTGGTCATGGCATGTTAGGCTTAGTAATCGGTATCATTTCATCAACTTAAAATCGACAAATCTCACTCAAAAAGTAATTAACTCATTCCAAACAATCAATTTATCTCAACAATTCAGACTAGCTATCAAGATGTATGCAAGATAAGGTCAAGATCCAGCAGCAAAACCAACAAACGAAAAAAGTTGTTAAAACCCCCCCCATCCTCTAAGATAGCCCGTCCATCATGAATGCTCTTGGCCATAGCTCTAGTAATTGGGCCTTTGGCCCATGGTCTTCCATCAATTACTCTGTTGTAACCAAATGGAGGGTTAAGTCTTTGTATTCCCTTTTGTATTTTGGGTGAATTTGAGACTGGGCTTTACATAGCCAATATTGGTATCATTTTCTTTGTCTTTTAATTTTATGAATTTTTGACTAGTTTATTTTTGACCTTGTATTTTAGGTCATGTAGTTTAGGACCATTTAGGGTAGAATGGATTAAATGTACATTAGAATATAAATTAAGATGCATTTCATTTGAATTTGAAGCATGCATGGAAGGCCACACTTAGGTGTCGTCCACATGCTTTAAACCTAAGTGAAATGCACCTTAAATTACATTCAATTAGACATGAAATTCGTGTGTGTGTGTGTACAGCTTGTGCGTGACCGGCCAAGGCACCCAAAATTTCAATTTCAAATTCAAATTTTGGGCGAGTAAGGTTTAAAGTGGCCATACCATGGTTTACTTTAAACCGTAGTTAATCTAGCTTCTCCTACAAGCTTCTCCACCTTATAAATACCCTAAACCTGTGTAGCTGATCATTTTTTGATGATATATGAATTTCACTTCAGAAATTTCTCTCAAAGAGTCCTTAGAACCTTAGGAAAATTCTCCCTCCTTAAGCACCTTCACAAAGGAATCCTTCCTTTGTGCTTTGGAGCTTCTTCTTCCTTCTCTAGGAAGATAAGAATAGCCACGGATTTAGCTGCTTCTACACCATCTTCAGAATCTTTTTCTACTATTGGAACCTCAAAGAAAGATCTCATGGATTCGGAGGAAGCTAGGATGAGCTCATTCTTCCACTTCTTCAAGTGTTCCTCCATCAGTAACCCAACAAATAGTAGCAAGCCATCCACTAGCATGGCCTCACAAAATTCATATTGTCTCTAACCTAACCCTGCCTTTCTCCCATGTAAACATGATCATTGCAGTCCAACAACAAGTAAACATGCAAGGTTAAGCTAGTATTCAAAAAAAATAATTATACAAGTATAGGAGTAAGGGCCACTATCCTACCAACAAAGACATGTAAACCATGCAATATATCACCTCATGGTCTACAACATAGCAACACAATAGATATCACTGGAACATGATATTCAAATCATAAAAATTAATAAGAAAAAACAAAGTTTGGTGTCTTTGGTGGCATCAATACAAAGTAAAATGATGTTCAAATTTCAAAATGTAACTTGATGATTTAACATCAGTGGTCCACCTCAACACAAGAAACAAATAATGACAATTAGACAAAAATAAGAAAGAAAAACAAACCTTTGAATCAAGGTATTCTAATGCTTGCTCTTGCGTATATACCTTACATTTTGTACATTCCTGATTATGGGGCACAACATATTTCACAGTTAATTAATAGCAAAAGTAATAATATAATTTACTGTACATAAACTAAGAATGAACAAGAAAGCATGTAATGTATCACAGAAGTCCCTTGTTTCTCCAATTTCTTATAATTTATTGTTGATAGAAGCATCATAGCATTTGACATAACAAGTATGGATATTAATTACCTCAACAGAGGGCAACAATAGCAAACTATAATAAGGATCTCTTCCAACCATCTGTATAACTTCTTCATTGATATCATCTCTTCATTACTGCTCTTTGAGAGAAAATGAGGGATCACAAGGACTTTTTTGGAAAGTTGAAGGTTGACTGAGACTTGGTTAACAAAGGAATGTGGTTTTTCAAATTAACAGGGTTTAAACTCAAGAGAGTAAAATGAACATGAACCAAACACTCCATCTTGCTCACTCTAAATATTCAACTCCAACCAGATCTCTCAGCCCAAATTCTCCCTCTAATTACACACCCTCTTTCCTTAAGATTCTTTGCCTAGATTTCAAGAGGTCCCTCTCTCTTTTAAGATTCTTTGCACAGGTGCTTGCTTATTTTGCTCTTGATTTGATTTGATTTTTTTTTGTTTTTTTGTTTTTTTTTTTAGATAACTTCTTGATCACTCTCCATCCCCATAGCTTTCATAACTAACATAAGAGGAACCTATAATATTACAGGAAAAGAAAATTACAAAAGCCTAATTGATGGAAAGAGAGAGCTAAAGGTAAATTATCCATATTTAAAATGAGCAAAAAGTAAAACCTTCTTAGGAAATTGATTCAATTGTAACCACAGCTTCTCATTTTCCATCACAATAACAGTTTTTGTTTTTATTTTCTCCGTGCTGCATGTAACAGATGCAGTAATGCTGAAAGCCAAAATAGGAACCAAACACTTTAAAAGTTAAAACAACATAAAACAGAATCATTGGTAATCTATATAGAGGATATGAACGTACAAAATTATGTTTTTCATAAACAAAAGAAAACTCATAAAAGGAAAAAGAGAATAAATACAGCTAGGGGAAGCATAAGATAATATCAGACCAACCAAAAGAAATGAAAGATACTGAATTACTGAAGAAGATGAAATGTATTACAGAGATAAAATCTGCAATACCCATAGAGCACAACTCCTGACCCACTACTAACAAAATTCCCCAAAACTGCCTACAACTCCCATTCCTTCTCTCTCTCTAAATGGGATTACACAAAAGCATAACAAATGTAAACTACGATGTAAGTGTTTCTCTAATCATCATCAAGTGTGATGGAGGAGGCTGAATAAGCACCGTCTTGTGAGGGGACAATATCTGCAACATAAAGAAAAATATTCAATTAGTAGCTAGTCATGTTATATTAAGTAGATAATAAAATAATAGTGTAAGGCAATTAAAAAAAATTATTACCTTGTTCAAATTTCTCAAGCTCCACAAAATCCTCTATTTCATTCAAGGACAATGGTGGAAGTCTCCCTTTGAGCCAATCTTGCGTGCAAATAAGTGCTTCCACCATTTGTGGTGTAAGAGAACTACGATATGCATCAAGAACTCTTCCTCCGGTACTAAAGGCAGATTCAGAGGCCACAGTAGAAACAGGTATAGCAAGCAAATCTCTTGCCATGTTTGAAAGAATTGGAAATCGACCCGAATTTAGCTTCCACCAATTTAAAACATCCAAATCTCCTTGACTCTCTTCTAAGGCTTCCTCTAAGTATTTACTTAATTCAGATTTATGAGATCCAGTTGATTTGAAAAACTGGTTGTAGCCATAAGGATCGTCACTTGCTTCTTCATTGAGTCGAGCTTCAGCATTTGACATAACAAGTATGAATATTAATTACCTCAATATAGGGCAACAGTAGCAAACTGTAACGAGGATCTCTTCCAACCATCTGTATAACTTCTTGATCACTCTCCATCCCCATAGCTTTCATAACTACCATAAGAGGAACCTATAGTATTACAGGAAAAGAAAATTACAAAAGCCTAATTGATGGAAAGAGAGAGCTAAAGGTAAATTATCCATATTTAAAATGAGCAAAAAGTAAAACCTTCTTAGGAAATTGATTCAATTGTAACCACAGCTTCTCATTTTCCATCACAATAACAGTTTTTGTTTTTATTTTCTCCGTGCTGCATGTAACAGATGCAGTAATGCTGAAAGCCAAAATAGGAACCAAACACTTTAAAAGTTAAAACAACATAAAACAGAATCATTGGTAATCTATATAGAGGATATGAACGTACAAAATTATGTTTTTCATAAACAAAAGAAAACTCATAAAAGGAAAAAGAGAATAAATACAGCTAGGGGAAGCATAAGATAATATCAGACCAACCAAAAGAAATGAAAGATACTGAATTACTGAAGAAGATGAAATGTATTACAGAGATAAAATCTGCAATACCCATAGAGCACAACTCCTGACCCACTACTAACAAAATTCCCCAAAACTGCCTACAACTCCCATTCCTTCTCTCTCTCTAAATGGGATTACACAAAAGCATAACAAATGTAAACTACGATGTTCCACAGTCTCTTCTTCAAGAATTTTTCTCTTCTTAGTCAATAATTCTTTCATGAACCAAGCATAAGTGGGCATTTGTTCCATGGCTTCAGTGAAGGGAATATTTATCTGGAGCTTCTTGATGATGTCCAGAAACCTTGCAAGTTGTCTTTCCTTCTCTTTCTTAGATGGAGCATGAGGGTAAGGTAAGTCTTTAATAGGAACAGTAGAAATGACTTTCTTGCCCTTCACACAAAAGCATAACAAATGTAAACTACGATGTAAGTGTTTCTCTAATCATCATCAAGTGTGATGGAGGAGGCTGAATAAGCACCGTCTTGTGAGGGGACAATATCTGCAACATAAAGAAAAATATTCAATTAGTAGCTAGTCATGTTATATTAAGTAGATAATAAAATAATAGTGTAAGGCAATTAAAAAAAATTATTACCTTGTTCAAATTTCTCAAGCTCCACAAAATCCTCTATTTCATTCAAGGACAATGGTGGAAGTCTCCCTTTGAGCCAATCTTGCGTGCAAATAAGTGCTTCCACCATTTGTGGTGTAAGAGAACTACGATATGCATCAAGAACTCTTCCTCCGGTACTAAAGGCAGATTCAGAGGCCACAGTAGAAACAGGTATAGCAAGCAAATCTCTTGCCATGTTTGAAAGAATTGGAAATC